TGCTGTGATGTTTATTTCATGCCGAGGCGTTGGGGGCGTTAGGTATCGGGCGAGAGAGAGAGAGCAGCATCAACAGCCTCCGACTGTCTCCCGCTCGTAGCACTCCTACGGAAGCAGCCCTTCACCTGCACATTGCCACGCCAATGCGCTTAATTAAAACCCTCGAGGCCACATTTGTGGAACCGGCCACAACACGCGGACCTCCCTGTCAGAGTTGCGGTGGGGGGGGACGGGGGGCGGGGACTACGACAACACATTCCAGCATATATATGATGAAACACAACGTAAACATCTAAAATGTGAAATGCAAAAGCTTTCAAATTGGTGTGAATGCTTACGCTTATACTCACGGTGAGCTGTTACGGTAGATCCAGCTGGGGCGGGAATGGCTGCGGATTTGAGCCGAAGTAGTGATTAACATGACAAAAGAATTAGCAATGTTTCGGGTGTTTTAATGCCTCGGCTTTTCAAAGCACGGACACAAAGTGACCGCTCTTCTCTGGACGCGCGGTTCGCAAAAGAGAGCGCGATTCTAAGCGAGTGTATTTTTCACGTTCGGTTGCCGTCCGCGGGTGATTTCTATCCCAACCCTCCTTGTCTTGAAGCCGAATTTAGTTTTTGGATTTAGTTTTTTTACAACTTAATAGCTCTTCGCGTGCTGAAGCGATTCAAAGCGAAAACTTCCAATGGCCTGGGCCGAGGATTTTGTGGCCGTTTGATGGAACCGTTCAATTTCACACGGCAAAATTAACACAACGCTCGCCTTAACGCACTATTCTCCCGTTACGTACTCGAGAGCTAATAACGTATTTGTTTTTTTGTCCAGAAATTACAGCATGTAATGGTTACAGGGTACTGCATACAGCACACGATTCTCTCATTATGTGAACACAATCACAACTACACGCGATTGTTATGCATTGGATTATTTTGCAAAGATTTATATTTTTTGTCTCCACTTGCCTAGTCGCAGTCTGGTGTAATCGCGGGCAATGTTACCACCTTGTATAGGAACACTTTTGCGAATGTACGGACCTAGCGATTATGAATGCGTGATCGCTAAAGACACACCAGCTATCAATACAGCCAATGCTCGAGAGTAAATCATATATTCCGCACTCCAAAATTGAAGTCAAATTTTCCGGCTACAGCGCTCGGTATGACGCCAATTCCAAGAATTTCATCTCACATTTACGCAGCGCCCTCGAACGCATCAACATTTCTTTTTTGTACACCGGCTGGTGTTAACGGACATGCTTTCTGATAAAAAATAATAACGAAAATGCGGCAATGTTTTAATAAATGGTAGAAAAAATGGCCCCAACGCGTGGACAAAAACCGCATGAATTTTGCACGAGCGCTGGCTGTTTTGGTCTGCCGATGGAATTTTTTTGGAGTAAAGCTGCTGTTGTTGTAGATAGGAACAGTGTTCTGCTCTGCTCCCAATTACCCGAAGCCGCGCTCTGTAAAGTAACCCTGGCTACCCCAGCAGAGCGGAAGAGGGTCGTGATTCCGATAAAAAATGTACGTAGCTGCTCCAGAGTCGGGCGAGGAGAGGGGCTAAAAGTTTGCAGTGCAGTCTTTGCTTTTCTTTTTAAATGCAAAACCTGTTCATTCCCCAATTCCCAAGGCTTACCTTCTTTAATGCTCTCATCCTAATTAGAGGAAAATAACATTCTCAATTGATTGGCATTTCCAAAAGTTGGAGTGGGTCTTGCGTTCTCCCAGGTGCACACGCCTGGAAGTGCTTTTTCATTCTGCCTCTCAACACTGCCTTTCTTGTCTCCTGACAGTCCTGTGTAGTTTTTACGGGTGAAGTTTCAAAAGGAATAGACCCCAGGCTTAGTTATTAGTAGCCTGACTGCTCCCCCACACCATATCCCCTTCCCCCTCCTATCTCACCCTGCCCTCTACCTATTTATAATTTATTTATTTATTCCATTGGGGATTTTATGTCTATCCCCATCCCCACCCCCCCGTATTTTGCCTTGACTCCTTCGATCAGCCTCGTGGCCCCACAAACATTAGCCGAAAAGAAAAACGTTAGAGACGCAAGTGCCGGCAGCCACCAATGCCATGCAGCTGCGCCACTCGCGAGCACATCCGACCCTCCCGTCACCCCCCCCCCCATCTCTCACCCCGCATCCCCCTGAAACACCCCTCCGCACACACACACGCACACGCGCGCTCCCCCGCCCGTCAGCCCCCCAAACCCCTTCCTACATCCCCATTAGCGGAGGCGGCCCGACTACAAAAAGAGGGGGGGGGGTGGTAGTCCCCCACCGCTCGATACGGCAGGAGAGCAGCGTTCGGACCCCCGTTCGTTCACCCCGGCGAGCCGCGGACACTTTGATATCCACGACCGTCAGAAGGGCATTTGCTCGGAATTGGAGGTTGGGGATCTAATTACCTGCGCCGTAATTGGGGGCTGGGGAATAGACCAGGGCGCACTCGACTCAGTGCAGATCAATTATGTTAAGAGAACATCTGTAAGTAGACCTTAATGAGGTCCATTAGAGCAACATGTTCGGCCGCTGTCAGACGAAACTTGTCAGTGAAGTTGGGCGAGCCTCGGATGGGAGGTGGGGGGTTGGTCGGCTGGAGGTTTAAATACCGAGGCAGACAGCCCCCATTTCAGCACTCACACGGAGGAGGCCCTCACTTCCGAGCCGAGGGGGTTGGGGTTGTTTCTCGGCGCTCCGTGAGCTTTTTGAACGTCGTGCCGCGTCCGGGCGCGCGCCGATTGCGCCACTCGATCCGCCCGTCAGTTTTGCCGCCATCCCGCGTCAAACGTGGGCATACCTAGGAACCCTGGCTTAGCAGCGCCCATCCCATCTCGTCATCCTACTCCTCCTCCTACTCCTACTCCGCAGCAACAGCATCTCACCGTCGCAAGCGCTGACAGGTGTGGACAATATATATTTTGTTTCGTCGTTGTTGTCGTTGTTTTTTACAAAAACTAAATTGCTTGGCTTGAAATTCTGTTCGTGAACGTGTGTGAGATTTTTTCCACCGCCCCCCACCCCCTCCACCGATTTTGCGTTTTATTTTAATGTTAATTTTCGAGCACTGTAAATAAATTTTTGCTTTTTAAAAATAAATTAACACAAACGTTGGCACACTGTTTCGTAGAGTGTCGAGATCTGGCCATCAGCCAGTGCAAACGCCTTGCAGACAACACGAATCGCAGCGTAGCCTAACTTTGTCTACCGCTCTCCGCGTGTGATTTTGCAGTTGTGTGGGTTTAAAAAAAAATTCTCAAACGTGTCGTCCAAAAACAGCGGCATGGGAATGAGTTCCGAACAACTAATTGTGTTTTTCACGTAACATTTTTCAAGCGCGCACGCGCGTGCCGTCACGTGCGTGCGTGCAACCTGTGCGCAAATAAATAGGTGGAGGTGTAGCGATGTTCAAATGAGTATCGTGAGAGTCCAAAGCCAGGCAGGTTTCACGGTACGTTCCGTCGTGCGATCGTTCCGCCACTTTTCGTCGGGCGAACGTGTTTATTATGATGCCGATGTAGCCAAGGGGCGCTTGTGCAGCTCTTTTTCTCGGCACACTTTAAATAATAAGGACAACATACACACGTAGCAACGTTGACGCCGCGTGTGTGTATATATCTCTCTCTATGTGATGCGTACGCGTGCGTGTGTACCACCGCTTTGTTGCATCTTCCGTGGAATATTCAAGGAACATCTGCATTGTACACAAACACCGCTCCACACTGAAACGTGCTTTCAAATCAAGGGTTATGATTAAGAGCCGCGGCCATATGCTTAATGCAATTATGGGATAAAATTTGCGTGCATTGTTTGCGAGGCCCAGCGATGTAAGGGCTCACGCCACTTTTCTTCGCTTTGTGGATTTTTTGTAAGCCCTCGCCATGCAAATGTTCCCGCACAAACTGTATTACTGAAAACACATTAAATGTTGCATTGTTGCCAAGTCCACAATTGGTTTTTTGCCGCAGTTATTTGGTTAATAATTGATGTCACTCTCTTGGGGAGCCGGCTGGAGGGGGGCTTGTGTGTGTGTGGGGGGGAGAGAGAGAGGAGGTAAGAAACGCGAGTAAAAAATAAATTCTTTTTCATTTTCATAACATTAAAACGGTGCAGAAAATTGCCTCGACGGCGAGATAGCCAGCTCTCAGATAATTTAATTCATGTCAAAACCTAATTACTTTCAGGTAATAACCCTGTCAGCTTTAGTGCATCTCATCAGTCGAAATGAAAAAGCCGACCGTTTTATGACCCATCCAATTACCATTTACTTTATGAGGGAAATTGAATGACATGTAACTGAATGTTAAGTATTGATTTCCTTTATTGCTCGCCGTCCGTGCTGCTGCATATCATTCAGCCCATTTTTGCCTTCCATTCCCCCTGAAAGCGACAATCTCGACCGCTCACGAAAATCCCTTTCTGAGCGAGAGAAAGGGTGGAAAATTGCTCTAAAATGTTAAAATGGGCCTCATGATGGCAAGACAACAATACAGCACGATCCTTTATGCTCGCCTGAAAGGGGTTTGTGAGCGGGCGGGGGGGGGGGGGGCGAACTAGTGGGCCATTAATTACACAGGCCCGCATTAGTGTGGACAGCAGCGTTTCCAACGTTTAATTAGTTTAACGACTCGAAGCTAAGATTTGCGCAGAGGTGTCTAATCAGATGCCATTAATTGCGAGGCAGTCGTTCTCACAGCGTGGGGTCGGGTTTCGCACGCTGGAAAAAAAAACCTCATCTTCTGGAAGGTAATTAATTTAATTGTCCTCGTTAGCTGTGCCCCCTTTATCGATCTCCCCATGCCCCCCCCCCCATCTCTCACCCCATCCCACCGCCTTCATCCCTCCCCCACCACCGCCAACCACTCACACACACTCACGCACCTACACCCCCCTCAACCAACCCACCCACCCCCCACCAATCCACCCCCCCCCCCCACCAATCCACCCACCCCATTCTAAATTCCCTGAGGGATGACATTTACCTGGGTGGTGCTGTTCGTGTTGACAAGCAAGAATTAGGTGTCTCCGTGCGTAGTGCGCGCGCACACACGCACACACAGGCAGCATTACTTATGCTGTGGAGTTGTATCCGCATCGGGCACACAGAGTGGGGAGCAGCGCTGTGTCACCATATATCATCCGCGTGTACCGTGAAGAGAGTCGCGGGCGCGCTTGGGTCAAGTTCGCGCCGAGAGCGAGGTTTTGTTACCACCGCTACTTTACTCCCTCTCGCGCTCTCTCCTGCCCCCGCCAGCCAAGGTAGGCTACAACACTTTCGTTCATGCGCGCACACACACACGCATGCACCGTAGTAGCGTGCCCGTGCCATTATTAATACGGCGTAATAACAGGACGCATGCGACGTGTATGTGTGTGTGTGTGCATTGCGCGCATTGCGGCTGCGTGTGCGCGATTTGCCCGGCTACGATTGTCGCCTGATTGATGCCATTCGCGTGTCCACTCGGCCTCTCCTCTTAGAAACACCGTGAGACTCACGCGGCACGTGCGTTCGGTGTGTGCTGTGCGGTGTGTGTGGCGCGTGTGTGTGTGGTTATACGTCGTCGCCGGTGCAGTGAAGAGAGCTGGGCTCTGGCAGATTGCTGTGGGTGCACGAGGCTGTGGTGCCCATCCTCGTCCTGCTCCTCCTGCGGTCTCTCTGTGTCGCCTCTGCTACAAACGTGTACTTGATAAATGGCTCTTTCTTAAAGGCTCGCGGGCGGAGGTGGGATGGGTGGTCTTGTGTAACGTTTCGTGACAGCCGCGTTCACGGGCGCTGCTGCTGCTGCTATTACTATCAGCCGTGGTACAGAGAGGCGGACGGGCAAGACGGGTGTGCAGGCAGGCAGAGAGGGAGGAAGGGAACTTTGATAATAGCTGGAAGACATGATAGGCCAGACAGGCGGACAGCCAGGTTGTGTGGGTAACTGTCGCGCTATTCACGTAACTAAGAATATCTGAAAAGAGGCGGGCGATGAGTCGGTCACTGCTGCACATTTGGCGAGTGCATTACGTCCATGTGTTGCCGCGCATGACGGGCGCAGTCAACGCAGACGGCTGTATCTCCAAAGAGTGCAGATTGGATAAACAGATCTTGCTTGTATTTGAAAAGTTCAGCACGCAGATTGATAACCTGTAGGGGTTGTCTACTGTGCAGTGTGCGTGTGTGTGTATATACCTACCTACTAAGGAGATGATCACATCGCTTGGGATGCGCAGTGCCTCTGCATACCTCGGAAGCTAAGCAGGTCTTGAGCCTGGGTAGTGTTTCGATGGGCGAACACCACGCACAAAAATGTTGCTATAGGCTGCTGTTACCACAGACAACAAAACCTTACAGTTGTACTGCGCTTGTATGCTCGCCTTCACCGACCCGCTCTGACCAGTGTGGTGAAGTATGGTTATACCCCCCCCCCTCTCACTCGATGGCCGGGCGGCGTGTGATTTGTGGGGGGCGAAGGTGGGATGCTCATCCAGCAGTGGATTGCCGTAGATGGTTCACTCTCACACGACGGAGGGGTTACTGGCGTGCCCAGGCACTTCCCCATTGTGTTTTTTCCCCCTCGATTGTTTGGCTATTGTTACTTACTGACCCGCCCGTCACTGGAGGACATATGTGGTGGTGGTGGTGGTGGTGGGGGAGGGGGGGTGGGGAAAGAGCTTCATAGCTCATCGGATTTCCTCCCGCAGTCTCAATGTAAAGATGCCGATTCTGCCCCACGGAGTGCCGAGCGAAGCCCGCCGGCGTGGTGGATGCTGCCGGGCTTGTGTGGGTGAAAGCCCCCGACGTAACACGGCGATCGAGAGGGAGAGAGAGAGACGGAGAGAGAGAGGGGGGGGGGTAGGAGTGAGAGCAGCCCACGGCCCAGAGGAGACCGCGACGGGGGGTGGAGAGAGCGTGGAGACTCGGACAGTTTGTCGCCAGAGAGAGAGAGACCCAACACAGCCAGTTCGTCCCCATCGCTGCTGGCTTCTTACAGGGGCAGCGTCCCTCCTCCGCGTGTGCTCTGCGTGCTCCAGCTTGCGTGAACAACCCGCCCCTGTGCCGTACCACTAATGTAGCCATACAGCCGGCGTGGAATAGCCCCGTGGTTTAAGTGCGCGACGTTGTTTGACGCTACAGTCTATTGTGTCACGCGTCGTGTTTCAAACATAGGCTGCTTATCAGGACTCGTCTATTCGCTGCTGTCGCCCTTAGACGCTATTATATATATTTTTTCTTACACTGCGTTGGGTTCTCGGTTTAAATCCGCTGCGTACGGCTATCTGGTCGGCAATAGCCGCCAGTGCGGCTATTGTCGCGATGCGCTATGGACACGGTCTCGTGTAGTATTGCTTCATACGCACTCTGAAGGCCAGGTTCTTGCTCGCTAGAGCCCTTTCACACACGTGCGCGCGCGTGCGTGGCAGCAGTAGCCCGCTAGAGGTGTTTGTCGCTAGCCACGCGGATTCACCACCATCATCATCATCGCCACCATCATCACCACCATCATCATCAACCACCGCGCGCCCCTGTAAGCCGGACTTGGACCATCATCATTCAACATTCGCGTGCGCGGGACGTGATGGGATGGGATGGTTGGTGATTAAATTCCACTAATTGGGTGGCGGCGATTGGCTGGCTCCGTTAGGCACAATAAAGAGGAACAGAAGGAGGAGGATTTAGAGGTGACGGAGGGGAGGGGGTTGTGGAGGAAGAGGAGTGGGAGACGGACTCCCCAAGGGGGGGGGAGGGGGTGGTAGTGGGGGGGGGATCAGGGAGGGGTGGATAGACTCACAGCGCTGGGTAGAGCAGAGTGGCCGAGCGGCTGATGAGTGCATTAGGAGGAGCAGGAAGAGGAGGAAGAGGAGGAGGGGGGTCGAGGTGGAGTGACACTGAGCTGGCGGCCCCGCGTTGTGCGGCGCAGAGGCGGCCCCGTCGTCTTGTGTGTGGAGCATGAACGGTGAGCGGGCTTGCTACGCACACGACACCACACAGACGGATACACGCACACAGACATACACCCCCACACACAGACAACAGATCCCTCGTATAGCCTGCACACGCACACAGACATAGGTGTACACTACACACACACACAGGTACAATCTAGCTGTACTCGTACATATAGTTGTACACGAGCACGTCCAGGGATTATCAAAGGCATACGCCTACACACGCAGATATACGCACGGGCACACAACGTGGAAACAATTAGAAATGCACGTGCCTGGGTACACATGCGTGCGTACATGCGCGCACGTACGCAGCTCATACACACACACGCACGGTCACAAGCGCACGCACCGCAGACACGTGTGTGCGTGTAGTGTGTGTGGTGTGTGCACGTGGTGTGGGGGTGTGCACGTGGTGTGGGTGTGTGCACGTGGTGTGTGTGTGTGGTGTGTAGTGTGTGTGCGTGGTGTGTGTGTTGGGGTGTAGTGAGTGTGCGTAGTGTGTGCACGTGGTGTGTAGTGCGTGTGTGTTGGTGTGTAGTGCGTATTGTGCGTGTGGTGTGTGTGTGGTGTGTGTGCGTGTGCTTGCGCACGTGTCGCGATGAGCGGTGGCGCAGCGGTGAGCACACTGCGCTACAATTCCGGCCACCGACGTCCGATCCCTGCCCGCGATGCGCGTACTCCGGCGAGCACGCGGCTGCCGTGTCCCAATCTGCTGCGGGCCTCCGCGAGGTCCACTCAACGTACCGATTTTGAGTGCGGGGTTTTTTTGCTGTTGTGTAAATGCGTTGAGCAATTACGGTAATGCGGGGGGGGGGGGGTAGGAGAGACGAAGGCGGCGGCCGGGCTGTAGCCTCCGGTTTGCCCAACTCGTGTGCCGCGCCAATGCCTTAATAGGTGCTCGCTGACAAGCGCGTGCACGATTTGCAATGATACGCGTCGGGACGCATGTCTCGGGGAATAACCAATACGTGTGACCCTTTTTGTAGATCGGGTTGCATCTCACGCTCGAGTCAGTCGGGGGAGGTTACGAGTTCAAATCCAGTCTCGGACTATCATCAACACCTCGATCGGTGTCGATAAATGTGAAGTCAACGGTGGGGGTATCGGGGGGGGGGGGGGCATCATCGCTGTCAACCCGTGTACGGTTTACCCCGTATTCTTGTCCAGGGAAATCGGAGTTTGCAGGTCCACACGGCGTACGGCCGTTTCAATACGGGCAATACGAATCATGTTTTTTGTCTGTTTTGTGTTTCTCCTTCCTCGTGATGGGCACTTTGTCCGGTGAACATTGAGATGTATAAGGGCACGGGGTGACCGAATAAGGTCTGGATTGGTCTGTAATATGGCAGGGCACTGATAAGGGATTTCCAGGTAATGGGGAAATCAACAGTAGTTGTCCTAATGGACAATTAACCCTCCCCTCCCCTCCCCACTCCCGCCGGCCACAATAATGTGGAATTCCCACGACCGACTTCGGGCTGCCAAGTGAGATGATGAGCTCGGCTTGATGCCCGTTTGAGTCGAGGCACGCGCCGCTAGCCACATCCACAGTGCAGTTGTCCCCCGTGTGTTTGTATACGTAAGTTGTACATCCTAATGAATTGTAAAGACCTTGAGATATGAAATGTGATTTTGTGTACAGATGTATCCAGCGTGCTTGGCTGTGTGCGTTTCAAATGATGTACGCTCACCCACCCAGCCCTTGCTATACGACTCGATCGTGGCTGTGTGTGTGTGTTTGTCTTTGTACGGTAATTTACGCTGTGTAATGAGTGGTGGGTTCTACATTTGACCTGCTTAATAGAGCATATGTTTGACATGTACAATCATATTTATATTCACACGCGTGCACGTCGTATAATGGTTATCCTCACGCCAAGCCACGTGGTGTGTGTGTGTGAACAACGTATACGTTTTATACGCACACGATATATCTGTGCAACACGCGTGTGTGCGTGTGTGTGTGTGTGCGACGAGATGTCAGCGGCATTGTGAACGACACTTTTCGTTGATAGACTTGGGAAAGCCCTTGATGAGTTACAAGAGTCGCCTTTCATGATGATTGAGATGATTGGCCAATCCCCACGACCTGAGTGAGTTTTTTAAAATCCTTTATATTAAGTTCGCTTGCTTGCTTGCTTACGTGCTTGCTTGCGCGCTTACGACCGTGCAAATCTTTCGGTCGTTTTTTAACCCACTTCCCGTGATCCAATCGAGCTGACATTTTGCACACAGACTCGTTGTGCGTGACAATTAATTTTCGTGAAAATTTTTTTCAAAATTTTTACACTATTTAGGGAATTTTTTTAAAAATATTTAATTAC